CGAAGGCTGGGGGAAAGGGCGAGACAATACGGGGGCCGTCCACGACGGATGACTCACCCCGGCTTCACCACGCCCCTTTTTATCGAGAAATTTCAAGGGCTTGCTCGGCCGCCGATGCGAGGAGGTTTCGTCGGTGAACCTAGGCTTCCGAGGAAGAGGGACGCGCGCCCGGGGAGTCTTTAGATGCTTGTTTTCTTTTTTATCGTTGACCTCGCGGCGTCTCTCCCGCGCTTTATCGCGAGAATTTGGCGGCGCGCCCTGTTTTGAGCGCTCGTTTTGTGACAACAGAGATCTGTCATGTTTGACATCGGCCTGAGACGCACGTTTCGAGGATTCCTCTTATTCGCCGACATGCGTGTAATCATCATCAGTGCGGATTTTCTTTGGCATTTTAAGCTTGAGGTAGACCTACCACCTAGCCGTCTCGTGGATTCTGAGGCCCTTCTCACAGATCATGGCGTGACATCAAATTTGCCACTCTTCCGTCTCGTGCAAGCTCATGCAAAAGTCTGCCCGGTGCGCTCTACGCTTCTGCGAAAATTTTCCGACCTATTTCATGCTCCATCTCTTGAAGACCCGATACGCCGAAATGTCACTCATCTCATAGTGACAGAAGGAGTGCCGGTGTTTGCACGTGCTCGTCGTCTCGCTCCTGACCGCTACAAGATTGTACGCTGAGAATCCAAGCACATTCTTGAACTTGGATGCGTCCGCTCCTCTTCCGGTGCCTGGTCGTCACCGCTACACATGGTTCCCAAGCCCTCAGGTGACTGGAGACCATGCGGGGACTACCACGCCCTCAACAAAGTCATGGTACCGGACCGCTATCCGATACCGCTCATCCAGGACTTCACGGCATTGCTGCATAGTTCCACCAGATTCCGCAAAATCGACTTACTAAAGGCATACAACCAAATAATTGTCGAGATTTCCGACGTACCGAAGACTGCCATAATAACACCTTCTGGCATGTTTGAATACACGCGTATGCCATTCAGTCTATGAAACGCCGCACAAACGTTTCAACGGTTCGTTGACGAGGTACCTCGTGGTTTGACCTTTTGCTTCACGTGCATTGACGACATGCTTGTCTTCAGCGCCACTGCAGAAAATCAGGAACTACACCTGCGCCGTTTTCACACGACTCCGCAAATATGGACTAGTCATCAGCGGACGAACGAGTGAGTTCGGCGTTTTCTCGCTGGACTTTCTCGGCGATCACGTAGATTAGCGTTGCATCTCTCCACCAGTCGTGTGTGTTGAAGCTATATTGCAGTTTTCACGACCAACAAATACGGACAAACAGCGTAAATTCCTCGGGTTTGCCATCTATAACCTGCGGTTTAATCCTCATTGTGCAGCCATCTTGCAACCACTCCACGCACTTCTTTCTCGCCAAACGAAGCCCAACGCTTCCATCTTATCAATGCGTGATGTAGAGACAGCTTTTAGTTTCAAAAAGGAAGCTCTTACTAATGCAATGCTCCTCGCGCATCGAAAGAACGACGTCATCACGTCACTCACAGTGAACGCCTCGGACGTCGCCATAGGAGCAGTCTTGCAGCAGCTCGTCGACGGAATCACGGAAGCTCTCACAGACTGAGCGTCGTGATATCACGTTCGGTTGCGAACTGCTCGTGGCCTATTTGTCTGTCAAGCACCTTCGACACTTCCTAGAAGGTGGGCCGTTCCATACCCTCACCAATCACAAGCCGCTCAGGTGTCACCACTACCAACTCTTCCCATACCCCACGTGAGATCCACCAGCTTGCCTACATATCCGAGTTCACGAGCGATATCCGGCAAATCAGTGGCAAAGACAACCCCGTTGCTGACGCGCTTTCCCGAATAAAAATCAACGCAACTATAGATGAGCACCCACCAGTCGATTTTCGGCCATGGCTACTGCACAACAGGGCGACAGTGAGCTTCAGGTGTTGCCACTCCAAGAGAACTTCCTCAAGCGCGAAGATGTTCAACTTACAGGCAGCGCGATTCCCCGCGTTTGCGACACCTCTACCGGTTGTTCTTGCCCTTAAGTTCCAGCACCATTTCGCGCAGAGTATTCGGCGCCTTGCATACCTTGTCGCACCCCGGTATACGTGCGACTCAACGCCGCATCACAGGGCAATATCTATGGCCCCGAATGAACATCAACGTCCGGTGCTGGATACGTCAAGCGCTGCTAACCAAACTGAAGCGCAACACGGTCAGCCCACTGGGTACCTTTACGCCTTCTGACTCGCGGTTCAGTCACGTGCACCTGGATCTCGTATGCCCTTTACCTCCACCGCAAAACAGCCGGAATACGCTAACTTGCGTAAACTGGTTCGCGCGGTGGCCTGAGACACTACCCCTCACCGACATCAAAGCAGAGTCAGTCGCCCGCGGACTCATCACCGTTTGGATAAGCCGCTAAGGAGTTCCCTAGACCATCTCAACGGATCGTGGTCGTCAATTTGACTCCGCGCTCTTCCGCAGCTTGTCCCGAATGCTTGGTGTCAACCACATCAGGACGAAGGGCTACCCCCCGATGTAGAATAGCATGGTTGAGCGATTTCACCGCCAACTCAAAGCTTCGCTCATGGCCTGGCAATTGTTGATACTTTGAACTGAGCGACTACCACTCGTCCTCCTCGCCCTGCGCAGCACGATACGTACAGACGCGTCCTGCTCCTCAGCTGAGCTCGTATTTAGCATTACCCTAAGGCTTCCTGGACAGTTTTTTGACACGTCGTCGGTACCACCATTTGACGTAGCTGATTATGCCAGTCGCCTCAGGAATGCCATGATCAATGTGTCTCCTATTCCTGCACGTCAACACTCAAGCCCAAGTTTCGTCAGTCGTGCGCTCCGCGACTGCACCCACGTCTTCGTACGACATGATGCAATCAAACCACCACTGCAACCTACTTACGACGGACATTTTAGGGTCGTTAAGCATTGCCCGAAGCATATCATTCTGTTGCCTAATGGACGCGAAGACAGTGGCTCTATTGACCACATAAAACCGGCTTTCCTCGGCACTGACGCCGTCGTCGAAGAATACAAACTATCCACGAAAACCAGACGAACGCCCTTCGCAATAGCAGAACCTACAACCTGCTCATTGGGTTCGCTGCTTCGCACACGGGCTACCTCGCTAGAGGGTGGGCTCTACGGCAAGCCCGCGTGTTCGCTGCTCCGCGTGTTCGAACCAGCACGAGAAAAGAAGACGCCAGCAAGAACGACAGCATTTTTGGACGTTCATGCCAGAGGAGGGATAAATAAATTATGTAGGAAACCAAACGCCCCAAGTCTACCTACACGTGCAGGCTTTTTTTGCGATTATAATGTGTGTGCCGATGTCTGTTACGTATATGTGACATAAGTTTCAAGCAATCAGCAACACGTTCACTCTTGAATTGTCAACGAGAATGCTCCACTTTTCTAATGGTAGTCCATAATTCCCACCAATTCAAGAACGAAATGATGGTATCTTCGCGTAGATGACCTATCAGCAGGACGCTGCTCGCCAACATGGCGCCAAATCTCAAGCACTTCGACCCACTAATCACGCTCCCTTCACTTCAGCACAACGTGAATTCAAAACGATTCAATGAAAACCATTTAGGTTTGGCTGCCAGGGCCTGCGAACGCGTGTGGCGCAATGCAAAATGAGCGATGCTCCTGTGCATGCAATGTGTAGAGTCAGCGGAAAGTGTATCCAATCGCTACTCATTGGTAGATAAAATTAAGACATGCCACTAGATGTCAACACAGGTGAATAAAATTGAAGGCCCGGAGAAGTGATTAAAAAGCAATAAACATTATCAATCTGCCCAAAATATCGAAATATTTTTTGAAAACACTTTTTTTGCATTATACCAATTTTTACAACCAAAGGATAAGTCATATTTTCCTTTCTCATTGATATCATTCGTTAGTTAGTGATAAGGCTAACGCCCAATCGAAAAGCAACTGTGGGACGTTAGCATCACTGTCAATGCCTCAGAAGGGAAATACAAAGCAAGTACAACGATCTGTAGTACTTATGTGAGCAATGGAGTGCATGACAAGTACATAGATCTCTTGAGCATGGTAGCTGCTTCAAGCTGGGCGACCATGTTCGTTATTCATTTGGCATGGCTGCCTGCTCAATATATAATGCTTACTGGGGATTCAGATGCTCGTTCTACCAGGGCCCATAGCGTCGATGTGAGCAGAGCAGTCTGTGATGCGTAGGTGCACTAAGGAGCCAACACGCTCGATGTGAGATAATTATTTTCTTTATATATGTCATATTATTCTTGAATTGAGATACAGTGACGGTGGCATCAAAATGTAGGTGACGCCCTAGATTTCCATGTTCTGTACTATATAACAGATCGTCGAGGAAAGCCGTCCAGTCATACCACCCGGAACTCTAAGATTGACTCCTCTCATGCACCCTATAAACAGGAAAAGAGGGTCATGGCGCTATGACTCTCTTCGGTTATCCTTCTGACCCCTTGTGGAAGGTGTTAGCTGAAAACGAGAGTCAAAATTTGTTCATGCATTTATATGTTCTTGTGAAACACCTTTCAACTGACTTTCGCGTTGAGGACATCAACGCATACGTAGTACATTACACATGGCTGGCGCTTGGTGCCGTTCGCATACGCTGTGGGCTCTGGCGCCACAGCTTTCCGTCGGCGCGATTGTGGCCGGCGGTGACTGCGCCTCCTGAACGGTCTCCCCTGCATTTTGCAGTGTGTTGTGTGTCTTGTAGTTTCCCGAATTCCCACGCCAAAAGCCGCCACCCTTTTTCATGTCAAAAAGCACGTTCTCGCTTTCTTCTCATTTTCGAAACCAAAGCAGCTCATGGAGATGCCCTGTAGAACATTTACCTCTACAACATGTTGGTACTGTGACTATCCACATAACCTTTCTCTGTGTCTCTAAACTTACTAAAATTTCGCTATTGATGTGAAACACATTTGAGGTTTTAGAGTAGCCCAAAACATATAAACAATGCTTACCGGATAAGAAGGGCCTGGCTTTTCACCAAAAAATTCATCTGGGCGAGAATAAAAAAGCAGAATTTAGATCACTCTAGATGTCCTACTTCTCGTAATTGAACTTTGAACTTGAACTTTACTTATTCAAACATAACATCATTTGGGATGCCGAGGGCCCTGTACGAAACAACTCTCGTGAATTCGTTAATATTGCGTAGGGATGTGGGCCATCTGCCTCAAAGGACTGGTGCAGACCGTACAAAGACTCCAAAAATATTTTTATTAGAACTATGAAAAAAAACACCGGAACTCATGAGTCAACATACAATCTATTAACCTATGCCAAGGCTAGGGTGGCTAGAATGGGGAGGTGTGATGAGCGCGGCGCTTTTCGCTTGCCGGAGAAGGTCCATGCCGCTAGGGGCGCTGATGGCAGCGGCGTGGGTCGGTTTGGACTGTCACGGTGGTTGGACGTGTTTTTTGAGCGCTCCCGATATACTGCGCAGATAAGCTGTTTTGCATGTTTTGAGCTTGTCTTTATAATGATAGGGCAGCAGTTAAAATACCTGTAGCAATTATTTTATTGTACGGCTTTTTCGGGGGTCAGTCACCAGGTATTTATTAGTTTGTGCGTGTGGGTGTGCTTGTTTTTTGTTTTTTGTTGTTTTTATTTTTCTGTTGCCACACCGTGGGGGAGGTGCACGTACATTGAACACGCGAACTTTTGTAGTAGAACTAGGCTTTCTCTTTTTCGTAGGCCAGGGCTCGAGTTTTGTAAATACCGAGTGAGAAAAGTCATAGGGACAATTGGTGTCGGAAAGACATGGTTAAAAAGACTGTGAAGTGTTCAGGATGTGGGGTTGGTTTGAAAGTGACCCCAAGTGTAGAAGCGGAAGAAGAAGAGGCTGTCGCAAAGTGTAGGCAATGTGAGGTCGAGGAAAAAATGGAGAAAATGATGGTTACCCAGAGTGACCTGCTGATGAGAATCACCGAGCTCGAGACTGCGTTGGCGAGAGAGCAAGAAAAAACGAGAGCAATGGGAGAAAAGCTGAAGTCCGCCGAGGAAGCACTAGCCAAGATAAACAGAGAAGCGGCCTACGGAGAGAACAGTCGGGAACCGGCAACCAGAACTGCGAAGAAGAAAGAGCAAGCAAGTTTGGAAAAACAGATTCAGCCGGTTCATTTGTCGCAAGGCCCAGCTTCAGCGAAGTAGTGGTGGGGCTGGGAGGGGACAAAGCAGCCGGCGTCACAGGTGCAAGTAATCCCCAGGTGCAGGACGGTCCAGCTGAAAAGTCACAACATGTGATAGTCGCCGGGGACTCATATTTATATCAATGCACAGAAGCCATCAAAGGGAGGGTAAGAGGTGACAAGAGGGTTGAAGTAGGGGCATTCCCAGGACGCAAGCTGGAAGCAGTCATGAGGCAAGCGAGCACAAAACTCAAAACTACAGCTGATATACGAAACCTCGGGATAAATTCAGGTGGTTTAAACGATGTCTTAAATGAAGATACAGCAGGACTAGCAACTACACTGGCAAAAGGCGTCGATGACAGGCGCACCACTTCTGCTCAGGTAGAGGTAGTGATATGCACAATATCGGAGGTACCGGTGCGTGATAGAAACCTACAAAGAGCGGTTGTCAACGCAAACAAAGAGATAAGGCGGATGAGTTAAGACAAAGGCTTTGAGGTGGTGGAAATAAACAGAGAGGTGCATAGGTGGGGCGGTTTTCAACGAGACAGGATTCACTTCGATGGGCGACTAGGTTATGAGGTGGGTAGGCGACTTGCAGGACGCTCAGTAGCTTTTTGGGGGGCACGCGGGGCCTTCGGGGTGCAGGATAGCTAGTAACGAGGAAAACAACGAGGGAGACTCTTTGACAGGTGGTATGGACAGATGGGATTCCAAAGTGCACCAGTATTTGAGATAGGTAGAGTCGGGGGCAGAAATAGACGCAGCCACGAGCGCCGAGCCAATTCAGACATAGGGTATATTAACATGCAGGGTGGTAGGAACAGGCTGAAGTGGGAAGAGATAGAAGAACAGCTAAGGGAGGAGAGGCCGATGGTATGCCGTTTCGTAGAAACACATCTCAGGGACATGAAAAAACCTCCTAACAATGCGGACTACGCATGGGAATATGGTAATAGAACAGAAGGTAGCAGAAAGGGGGGTGGTATTGGGGCATTCATTCATAAAAGTACAGACTGGCAAAGGGTCAAGCAGGAGTGCAAGGAACATTTATGGCTAAAAGGGAAAGTGGCAGGGCAAATGACACTCCTTGGTTTCGTGTACTTGTGGACGGGAGCAAAGGCCAGAGAGAAAAACCAGGCAATGGTAGAGTGTATATCAAAGGACATTCAGGAGTCAGGAGGAGAGTGCGAGATAATTATACTAAGAGATATGAATGCACACATAGAAGATATATATATGGGTATACCGACCCAACAGGCAAAATGATCATGGATATGTGTGAAAGGCTTGATTTGATCATTTGTAACAGTACCGAGAAGTGTGAAGGGCAAATAACATAGGAGGTAGGAAGGCTGCAGGCGACGATAGATAACGCACTGATGTCACATAGGATGAACGATAAGCTCAGGGGAAAGCACATAGATGAAGTTGGCTCGAGAAGTCTGGGTAGTGCCTGGGTAGGGATCACAAACGTATCAAGCTAAGTTTTGGAAGAGCAGTGAAAGTGGGAAGGAGACAAGAAGAGCAACTACAGAAAAATTTTTATTCAGAAAGGCTAATTGAAGTAGCCACAAAAAATTGAGAAAGTAATCACTGAGGATAATAAAACAGTGTTGACACACAGCAATCTAATTAGACTGTTTCAGCTAGAGCTTGCTAAGGCACGTGACATGTGACCCCGGAAAAGAAGACACAAACCCAAAAGTTGGTGGGATGAGGAAGTTAAGAGAGCCATAGAAAAACGTCAGGAAGCCTTTAGGGGGCACAGACATGCTAAGCAGCGGGGTGAACCGACAGATGATGTTGAAAGAAAATCGGAAATTTTTTTAAGCTGTAGAAGGGATGCATCCCTTCTGATCAATGAAAAAATTAGAAGAAAGGGAGCCCAGTCGCTGGCAGAAGTACATAAAGATGATAGAAAGGCAGCTCCTAAATTTCGGAACTACCTAAACTCTCTAAGAAATGAGACGAGCCTAGAGCAGAGGTTCATAACTACAGCTAAAGGTGCTAGGCTAGAAGGGGATGAAGCTATTGAATATATAAGAACAAGGGTGACAGAAAAATTTCAACAAAGAAGGGTTTTATGCACCACAATAAACAAGGATGAATCAAATGGCGCAATGGCTCCATTTTCACAACAAGAGTGGGAAAGCGCTGAGAAATGGGTCCCTAGTAGTACATCAACAGGCCCAGATGGTATTACACTTATGCTGATAAATACATTAGGTCCGAAGTCTAAGCAGGTTTTGAGAGAGGCAGTGAGCAAAATAATAATCGATGGAGAAGTTCTCGATGGATCGAAACTTAGCAGGATGAGCATGATCTATAAAGGAAAGGGGGACAAAGCTGACATAAACAACTACCGTCCATAACAGTGACATCAGTGGTCTACAGGCTGGCGATGCAGATTATGAAGGAAAGACTGCAGGCATGGATAGAGGATGAGGGGGTGCGGGGGGAACTGCAGAATGGGTTTCGGAAACACAGGAGGTTGGAAGACAATCTGTTCTCACTGATGCAGTGCATCGAAATAGCAGAAAAGGAACACAGGCCCCTGTGGCTGGCATTTTTGGATATCAAGGGAGCGTACGATAGCGTGGTTCAAGAGGAATTGTGGGGAATACTGGACACACTAGGCGTGGAAGATGTAGTCACTAATCTTTTAAAGGATATCTATAAAGGTAACAAGGTATATATAAAGTGGGAAAAACAGGTATTCAAGCCTGCAGAGGTAAAACGGGGGCTTAGGCAGGGGTGTCTCCTATCATCCTTATAATTCATGATGCACCTAAAGGATTAGAGGCTAAATTAGAGGGATGCGGACTTGGCTTCAACCTCTCTTTCATCAAAGAAGGAAAACTCATTAATCAGGCACTACCAGCATTGATGTACGCAGGTGATATAGTGCTAATGGCCGACAAAAAAAGATTTGAAGAGATTGGTGGACATCTGCGGTAATGAGGGAGATAGGTTAGATTTCAGATTCAGTAAGGGAAAATCAGCAGTCGTAATTTTTAATGGCAAAGAAGGCAGTTAGCTTAGAATACAGGAAGTCAGGCTAGAGATAACAGATAAATACAATTATCTGGGCGTATTAATAAGCAATAGGGCCGAGTACCTAAAGGAACACGAAATATACGTGTCGACTAAAGATTAGAGGGAATGCAGTGGTAATGAAAAACAGGATACTGTGGAATTAGAATAGGTAGGATCTTGTGAGAGGAATATGGAAAGGGGTCATGGTTCCGGGTCTTACGTTCGGTAATGCGGTCTTGTGCATGAGATCAGATGTTCAAGCAAGATTAGAAATTAAGCAACGTAGAATAGGTAGGCTTGCCTTAGGAGCTCACGGGAATACACCAAATCAGGGAGTACAAGGTGACATGGGATGGACATAATTTGAGGGCAGGAAAGCTAGCAGCAAGATAAAATGTGGGAAACAAATTGAGAGAAATGGGGGAGGAGCGATGGGCTAGGCAGGTATTCAACTACTTGTACATGGAGAATGTCGATACAAAATGGCGGAAGCGAACCAGACAATTGACTGGTAAATACTTAGAAAATAGCAGGGGACGAAATCCAAAGGAATTATCGGTTAAGAAGATGGTGAAGGAAGCTGAGACTGATATGTGGAGAATTGGCATACGAAGTCCGCACTCGAGATCTATCGAACTTTTAAGCAGAAAACTGTCAAGGAAAGGATCTATGATAATACTCGGGGTAGTTCTCTACTGTTTGAGGCCAGGACGGGAGTATTGTGAACCAAGACATATCGGGCCAAATACGAAGGGGTAGACACGGTATGCAGTGCGTGTGGAGAGCAAGATGAAACTGCCGAACACTTGATAATGTTCTGTAAAGG